TAATCCCACTGAAACAAAACAAAACACCAACAACTACCAACACGATTTAGGACTAAACATGGACAACGATTTTTGACGTACAAACAAACGCTAGTAGTTTTCAACAATCACATACAAAAACCACATTAAATGCATTCATTAGTAAATAATGGCCGACAAAACAAATACTACATTTGACTTAGTTAAACAAATTCACATACACATTACACTCTGCTATGACTCCCATTGAATATAGTGTAAAAAATGTATATTGATTTATGTATGAAACATGAATATTAGCTAATTTAAAATCATTGCAATATGCAAGGGAATTTTTTTCTATCAAATTAAAAAAAAAAAAATAAAAGATGCATGCACGGAAAAAAATTCCGGCAAAACTATCGTAGTGTATGGTATTAACATTTCTGCTAAAAAAATCAATACTATAGTTAATTAAACCAAAATATGTAGCATTTAAACCATTCACATAGAAATTGAATTGGTCACGTGATAACGATTTACCGAAAAATAACCATGCTAATTATCACAAATTTAGTAAAAAATACAAAACTGAAAGGAAGATTTAATCAAATAAATGATTCAAATAAATGATTTTTATGCCATGCTCTAAAATATCATGATAAAATTACGCAATGTTATCAAACTTTCTCACATATTACAAAACCCTATTTTACTTCTAATTTTATCAAAAGCACTTTGGTAAAGGTCATTGAGCTTTATTTTTTCCCATAGAAGCAGAAACATGGTGAGTTTTACCATATTCTAGTAGTTTTGACCATACTTTTTTTCTCGGTGCATGCAACAAGCATTGGTAAAGAACACTGAATTTTTGGAAATAAAATATCTTTAAAATCTTTGTTAAAAATATTTGTATTTGAAAACGCAAATCGATATTCAAGCAAGAATGAAAATCGAAAGCTCACTAGCGAAAACGAAGGGATGAAAAATATTAAAACCAGTTTCATTGCCTTTTGAGACATATGTATAGAGGTGTTTCTAAATATCCCCTTTCAACTTCTATCTGATTTTTCCGAAAATTATACAGGCTTTTGTGCTTTCAATGCCGCCATCTTCATTAGATTTTCATTATATTTCAATTAAGCTTCTGCCTTTTCCTCGCTTAAATATTAATTTGCAAACCCAATGCGCAGTGCTCAAGAAAAAAAGAAAAAAACGGACCCCCCTTAATAACTTTTGATCTGATGATCGTATATTCACGTTTTAGGACTCAGTCTTAATGATTCAGGGGGGTGACGTAATGCTAATGATTTAGCGCAAACGGTATTTTAAGTTACGAATTCAGACATAAAAACGCCCTTTCTTTGCACAAAAATATTTTTTTTTTCAACAGAATCGGATTTCTGAACCCCAAATATAGGGGGTAGCCGCAATCTGGGAAATATGGTCCCCACAGTTTGTTACAGAGAACAGTCCTAAGTTTGAATCCCTTAATTTTAATATAATTTTCAGCTTATTTAGTCATATCTCAAGAACTTTTTAAACAAATTAAAAAAACTTTTGCTTCACAAATAAAAAACTCAGTTATCCTAAGTTAATTCCATACAAAATGCAGCTTTCGATTAGTATTTATTTTTTATTTTATTTAGTAATGTCCGAAAAAATTTTGAATAACAAGATATATTATTTTTTGCGTCATTTTTAAAGGGTGCAATTTTAGATGGCAAATTACAAAACTTGAGGTCGAATAGTTCCAGAGAATCAAATTTTTAAAAAAGCACATTTTTAAAATTCGATTTTTCGAGAAGTAATCGACCAAATTCTCGCAAATTATGTATTTCCCCATGTAAAACTACTTCCTTTAAAATTATGCAAAAAAATATTTTTATTCCTTAATATTCAATTTTTTTTGGACTGTTATTAACTAAAATAATAAATGTTTTCTGAAAGTTATATTTTGCTTGGAATTATTTTTGGTTAAATGAATTTTATAATTGTGTGCAAAAATTATTCAATTCGCTTAAAAAAAATTTGAGATATAGCGTAATACGCAGGAAATGAAATTAACATTAAGGGCTCATACTTTGGACCACTACTCTTGACCAAATCGTATTTCCCAGATTGCTACTCCCCCTTGTGTTTTGGGGGTCTGAAATCTGAATCTGTTGAGAAAAAGATTGGCTTATTCAGAGAAAGTATGTTTTTGTGCCTGATGTTGTAACTTAAAATATCGTCTGCACTAATTAATTGGCATATTTTAGATCACCCCTTCGAACCATTAAGATTGAATCCTAGAACGTGAAGATCCTATCATTAAATCAATAATTATTCAGAGTGGTCCGTTTTTTTAATTTTGCTCACTGTATGTCAATTTTAATTATCAAAAAAGAGTACACCCTAAGGTTTTTTTTAATTTAATTCAATATAAATCTCAATCAGTTTTAAGTATTCCTGAACAATCAATATCTGTAAAAGTGTTTTTTTATTTCCTAAAAAAGATATAATTAAATGTTGTTTTGCACATAATATGTGGATATTTCGCTTATATTTATACAGCACTTAGTGTGAAGTTGATTCACGAATTTTCTGTTTTTTGTTTGTTCACAATGAGGCCAAAAAATACTTTTTAAATAATAATAAAGATTTTTTGTAATGGTAGTCATATTTTATTCAGCCATGGCTGTAATTTATGTTCTTAGTATTTTGAATCAAGCATGTCTTAAACAGAATAAAGTTTAATCTTTATTGATGGTATTGCTACTATATCGTAATTATTGACACAAGGTCAACTTATATAAGTGTTACAATTTTAAATAATTTTTTTTGACGTTTTAGGTATTTAAATCAAAATCATACGATATCCATAAGCTATATGTAGATTACATTAATACGATATTAATCATGCACACAAACAGAATAGCAGCCAAGCAGATTTACTTTGGCGATTTTTGGATCTGAATGCAATTATTTCAGTTCTTTTCAGATCAAAAACACGCATTCATCTTGACAATGCAATATTTATTTTGTTTACCATGAAATATAGTTATCCGGTCGTGTTCTTCTGCAATGAAATTAACAGAAATCTTATAATTTAGAAGTATCCAATCATAACCAACCCTAAAACAAAAGAAAGTTTTAAAGACAAATAAAATTCATTGTCATTAAAAAGCACCACCCTTAACATTGAGTAAAAATGTGTACATAGATATTCTTTTAAGTGAGTGGTTATTGTTAATTGAGATTTTTTTTTTGTGCACAAAAGCGTCAACAAAATTGAAGAAACGCGTGACAAGGATGTTATTACAAAACAATGAAAATAAATTCAATGACATTTTAAATGACATCATTATTCTTAATTACTTCATTTTAATTCAGAAACCTCATCATGAATTTTTATATTACATCGAAAATGTACTATTAATTCATACAATTAGTTTTCCACTTGACTGATTCTATTTTATTCACTACACTTACTTAATTTTACTGCTGATCAAAATTAATCTGTGATACATTAGCTGAAACAAATGAATTATTTTAGCGTCATATAAAATATCATATTTAATATCTTGTAAAAAATAACATTTTTTAGAGATTGTTTTTCCATAATTATTATTAAACGCTTCTCCCATGCATAACGCAGAGGAAAAGAAAGGGGAATTAGATACCGAAATGCTTATATTCCTACAAAAATATGTTATTAAATCATGTAAGTTGGTGTCAACTTGATTGATTAATTTTTATGCAATACACTTACTAAATTTCACTTTTGATCAAAATTAATCTGTGATACAGCATTAACTGAAACAAACGAATCATTTTAGCGTCATATAAAATATCGTATTTAATATCTTGTGAAAAATAACATTTTTTAGAGATTGTTTTTCCATAATTATTATTAAAAGCTTCTCCCATGCATAACAAAGTGGAAAACTAAGGTGAATTAGATACCGAAATGTTTATATTCCTACAAAAATATGTTATTAAATCATGAAGTTGTTGTCACCTTGATTGATTAATTTTTATGCACTATTCAGGCCAAACATCATGTGGTCACGTTTGATGAAAATTAATCAGCAATACAACAATAACTAAATACATTAATTCAGCTTCATTTAAAATAGCATATTAAATATCATGTAAAATATTATATTTTTTAGAGAATTTTTTCTCCTATTATCAACACTAAAAGCTTCTTCCGTGCATAAGGAAGCCAAAAATTAAAGTGAACTAGTTATCAAACTGATTTTAAATTAATTCTATTAAAAACGTTTTCTGTATTATTTATAATTTTTTATACACTTATGCGCACTACTACGCTAGAATTTTTTTTTTTTTATCTTAATCTGCTTGCATGATCATGTTTGCCTGATCTTACGAATAATATTATTAATTTTCGAATGAAGAAAACAAACATTTGTTTTTGAGTGTACATAGTTAAAAAGAAAGGAAACGAAAAGTTTTCGCAATCAGGCAACACACGTGCAAGTGAATGTTTTCAGCCTAGGTGCTTTAAAAACACCAAATAAAATAATATGCGTGCTGCAAGTACCTTCAGTCTTTAATCCTAATCCTAGCAGAAAAAGAATGGTAATAACTCCTCGGAAGGATCCAGGAATTTTAAAAATGTTATTTCACGAACTAAAAGGATTAAAAATAGAAAACTATTGATTTTTACGAAAGGGCAGATTTCTCCTACATTAACTCCACGCTTCTGCTACCCACATTTTCAGCAGCAGGATTATTGATTGATCTAACGACAAAGCTTAGTGAAGCAAATGGGATATGAAATCAATCCCAGATCGAACTTATTCCCTACAGTGTGGTGACGGACGTCCCCGGACATTTCAGGGGTGCAGCACCCCCTCACCCCTCATTTACCGTTTCCCCGTGTTCAGCAAGTCTTCACCCTCCTGCCTTCCCTGCCTTTATATCTAAAAGTAGCTTCTTCTCCTGCAGGGATTCAGCTAAAGATTCATTTGCAAGGTAAATGTCACGATTTGCAAGATTTGCAAAAGCATATAGAGTGAGAAGGATTCGCTTACCTTTTTGGAAGTATAAAAGGATGAAGCTCGATTGAGAGTGGCAATCTTACTTGCACAACTTCTAGAAGACGATTCCTTATTCTTATCCAGACGTTGAGGGTTTTAGGATGGACGCTGTTACCTAGGCAACCGATTCCACAAGTGGTGGAGGGATGCAGTGAGCATGCTCCAGGAACCAACCAATGGTATGAGAAGGAGAGGGGGGCGACGGAAAGTTGAAGCACATGTGGAAGGATGATGTCCTTACCTTGCCTTACCTGGGACAGTCCGGCTTGTCCCGTAAAATCTTAGTTTTTTTTTTCGCTCTCGTCTCCTGTCTTTCAAGGAAGTCTCTCCAGTTTCTGGAAATTGAAGATACCTTGGAAGAGGCAGGGAGAGTACGGGAGCTGATTTAATTTGTGTTTAGAAGAAAAGAGGATTATTTTACCTCTAAAACGCGTATTGTCATCTTATTGTTATTGAAGGGAAGGTATTTCATTAATATTTTGCAACATAAATAATTAATGCAGAATTTGGAAAATAAAGTAATACATATTTATTAATACATTTTTTTAATATTACGCTTGTTAAAGGGAAAACACAACTAGAGAAAATGTTTGTTTGTTTTTCTCCCTATTTTCTTCATTGGCTAAATAATAAACCACAAAATATGAATAAGTGAAAACTTTAAAATTTATGTTATAATGATTCTTCAAATAATCAGAATTTCGATTTTCTATGCTCTTAAACACATTTCTATGCACTTTTTGCAAATAGATAACTAAGTCATAGGGAAAAAATTAAAATAATTATAATAATGAAAGATTGTTTTATAAATCTTTACATCCTTCAATATTGATCCTTCAATCCTTTATTCTGAGAGCTGAAGGAGGAAAACGCTAAAAATGTAACAACAAAAAATTATTATGTTTTTTTTAAACTGTCTTAAGTGCCAAGCTTAAACTAACAAAACTGTAGTTTAAAATGGCAATCAGGCAACCAATAAGTCAAAAATGAAACACGCGCAAGTGAACTGAAAAATCACAGTAAGTTACACGACTGCTGGAGACTATTACTTAGAATATTTATGCATGTGTACATAAACCGCAGTATTAAACCAATCTGATTTTATTACTTAATTATTTTCGAGAATTACGATTAATTAATTTTTGTAAATTAATTAGTTGTAGATTAATGTAATGTACAAGGTAAATTAGCAATTTTTATGCAAACTGAAACAAAAAAAGTTTTGTATTAAAGTTCAATGTAAAAAAGAAACTTATTCGTAAAAAATTTAAAGAAAAAAAAAATTCTATATTGTTATTGGCGCCTATAATGCTTAAATAATTCTAGTATAAGGTAAAAATTGAAATGAAAAAAATAAGCTTTTCTTAAAAGGTTAAACTAATGAAGAATTAATTTAAACATATTAATTTAGGAAAACCATAAAAAATTACTTCATTATTATTATTGACGCCAACTAATAATGCGTAATTTGTTTTAGTTATTATATTATGTTAATTGGTTATTTTAATTTTAATTATGTTAATTGGTTATTTTTATTTTAATTATGTTAATTGATGTTTTTTTAATATGTACTAAACATACTAATATTAGTACCAAGATACTTCCGTATAAATAGATTTTTACGGCTCACCGAAAGGAATATACGTAGGAGAATATTATACTGAATATGGTAAATTAAGACTATCAAAAGTTGACTTCGAACAATAGCATCATGCCAAGTTACATTTAAAATATCCTGATTTTAAAAGGATAAATTTCTAAAGGCATGTTTTGCTTAATGTGATAACATAAAGCCACTAGGCAGAGCAAAAAGATAATTTTAAAAGAAAAGAATTATTTTAGGCTAATTAATTGCGTTGGTATGCGTCTTTCAATTTCGTGCATGATTTCGAAGTGTTGATTAATACTAAATTTATTGATACGCTTTATTCTCCACCCCTGCTCAAAGAACCTTTTTACACATTTGCTCTTCTACTCTTCCACTACCTATCTACCTACCTATATATATANTTGCTCTGCATATTCGGCGAACATGTCGAATATGAATATATATATATATATGTATGCATCTTCTCTACATTTTTACTTAAACCAGTGAAATTTAATATTATCAATTTAACGACTTGTTAAATTAACTCGTTTTAGGCAAAAATTACCCACTACGTGTGTGCATGAGTAAAACTTCACTTCTTTTGTTCAGTTCAATTGTTTGTTTTTGTATATCAGTAAGTATTTCGAACGAAATCATCTAATTCGGTTGCCTGCGTATTTCAACCAGTAGTGAAAAAGAAAGCGTCACAACTTTTTATCATCTATTAGTAAAAGTGTATTTAATTCATTACCTCAAGTAGTTGAAATTGTCTGCGTTTGATTAAGTAATCGGTAAATTAAATATCGCTATGTTTTTAACTGGCCATTTCCATCATTTGTGTAAATAAAATCGACGGATGCTCAGTGCCAAGCACTATATCCTGTGGAATATTACATACTTATATATATATATATATAGATAGATAGATATAGATATCTATGTATGTATAATAGCACTAATTACAACAATGGAATTATGAATGATTTATAAATTTTCCGACACAACCAAATAAACTCGTTATACCCAAAAAAGAATAAATTTTAGCGGGACAGTGAACTATTTCTTACAAAACCTTGCCATTGATAAAGTTACTATGACAACTCTATTATGTTGCTTATTTTTGCGAACGCTTTTTTTCTCCTTGTTCTGTCGTACGGAAAATGGAGAGTGTTTGTTTTTCCACGTAAGACTCCTTTTATTTTGAAAGAAACGCGCTGAATCTCAAAATCCCTGCCCTTAGGTAGGATTTGTTGTAAGCATCAGAAATGAACAGTGACAGCTTTATCAGACTCCTCTTCCATTTTCTAAAAAAAAAAAAAAAAAATCCTGTTTCCCCTCTATGCTTATGTAAGTATAAGCTTATTTCTGTTGTTCCAATTTCGAAATGGAGCTTATAAAAGAATTGCTATTCGGATTTCAGATAAAATCTGTGTCTATCATGTTTGAATTGTAGTATTTTTATGATACCCCAGATTTTTTTATTTATTTCGTTTTTGTTCATAAAAAATATTTCTGCCCTACTTCTCTTGACAGCATTTTAAGTTATAGTTCTTCCAGTTCAATTTTTCCCTTCAGATATCGTACATTATGAAGTTGTTTCTTTAAGTTATGCTATTTTGTAAAAATACCGATAAAATGTACTTTTTGCATTTAGTTGTTTTTCTTTTCCTAACATACTAGATCAACGTATAAATTTCCTTTTGGGAAAAAAGGGGATTATGGCATTCACATTCACTATTGAAAGCCAGATGAAATTTATCCCTTAGTAATTTGGCCAAATTTCCTTTCTTATAATGCTACTAGATTGTTAATTGTAAAAAAAAAAAAATCTAATTTAATTTTTCTGATATTTCATAGCTTTTTTTTTCCTTTAAAAATTGAAAGCGCTTTTTGGAAGGACACTTATAAAATGATAAAATAAAGAGCAAAACAGAGTTTGAAAACTATTTTGCTTGAAATGCTCCGAGCATGTAAAAATTTTCCCATAGGCAATGCATTATTTGCCTTACATGTTTGGTCGTGCGGCTTTCAAATGTTTCGTAAACAATAGCGCACAATAGCAACTAAGCATCCTTTTAATTTTGAAGAAAATTGGTTATGTCGGATGTGCTGGTTAAATAGAATTGAAAATCAAGGGAAAATAAAAATTTATGTTTTTTTTTTTTTTTTTTTTTTTTAATTTTTTTTTTTTTTTTTTTTTTTTTCAATTTTTTTTACAAAATCGATGACTTTACTGTCTTTTGAGGTTTACTCAGTTTTGATAAACCAATAGCATTAAAAATCGGTTCATCCCGTTTGTAATTACACTACGAAAGTTAACCTTGTTATGGAAGAACAGCTCTTGTCCACGGGCTTTATTCTCTTCCCATTCATTCTCTTAAATTCGTGTAGGGGAGAGGGGGGCACATGTGAACAAATTTTTTTATTCCCTTATTTTTCAAAAAATATCATCAATTTCTCACAGTAAAGAAGTCCATATGTTTAAATAGTCTTTTCCTTGTTTTATGGAATTTTTTAAGATTTTTCAATAAAATATTTCTTTACTTTATGATATTTTAGAAAAATGAATTCAATTGTTCACATGTGGGAGGCACATGTGAACATGCCTGGGGCACATATGAACAAGATTAAAAGCACAAAGCAACCATCATAGTTAAAAGAAAAAGATCCTTAATATAACAGTTATGGATACACATTATGCTGAAGGGGTTGTAGTTTACTGTGTGAATTTAAATTGTACAACAGTACTGTCAATAAGAAAATAATTTTTCCGCTGTAGAATAATTTGTTGAGTTTTTCGCAACTTCATGCTCCTCAGGAGTTGTAATGGGCATTTTTCTTTCTTCTCTGATACTCTTTCATGCTTTTTTTTTTTTCATTTTTTCTATCTTTTCATTTGTAGCTTTAGCAATTCTATTTTTCTCAGGTGTGTCAGTTAATATGCGTGATTAACCATTTAATTAAAAGAAAAATTTTAAAAAATTAGCAATTAATAAATTGATTATGGAAAATTAAATAATAATAATTTTAATTGCATACATATTTTTTAAACTTATAATATCATTAGGATAATAATCTTAATACTATGTAGGGACACATGTAAACTGTTCACATCTGCCCCAGATGCTTTGTTCACTAGTGCCCCATCATTTTTCTTAAACCTAACTCGAAAAATAAGGAATTTTTAATTGAGTAAGAAAAAATAATAATTGTCATAAACTTACCTGAATGTTCATATTATGGTCTGCAATAGCTAATTTTAGCTTTTTAGTTGATTTATACTATGCTGTCACTTGTTGAAGCGAGTGATTATAATATATACAACACCAGCTGATACAAAGAAATTTTCAGAATAGAACAATAGAATGGCTCATTGTTCTGAAAGTTTTGCAGAGAGGTAGAACTAGTACTGCCATCAATTGAAAATTTTTCGAGATTTTTCATTTCAAATCATATTGGTAAAACATACCATGTTCCCATATGCCCCCTCTCCCCTAATTATTTTTCTCAGA